CAGGACCTATAGCGCCCGAATCTGCACACAGGGGTGTAGGGAGTAAAGTGAGTACTTCCAACTCAGTGAGTAATAAAAATAAATGAAGACTGAGTAATATAAAACCACGTAAGGCACAACATTAAGTTACAAGAGGCATAACAAATCCGTAAATATAATTAAACAATGAAACTTCATAAACATCTCTCAAACAGTTAAACAATATGCAGGAAAACAACTAAAAAGTAAACACATAATAACTGCCCCTCAGGCACAGTAACAACAGAATCAGCCCCTCGGGCAATGTCACAGAACAATACCAGCCCCTCGGGCTATATCTCAAATCACAATGGGTACCCGCGCTCACTGGGGGTGTACAGATTACGGCCCAAGCGCATAATCAAGCCATCTCGTGGCATCATAAACAGGCTCTCGGCCTCATATCAATATCTCAAGCCACCTCGTGGCGTACAAATCTCAGGCCCTCGGCCTCATTATCATAATCAATGTATCACTGCTGCGGCGTGCAGCCCGACCCAAATGTATCCTCACAACACAGGCCTTCGGCCTTACTCAGTCAGAATCTCATAAGCCCTTCGGGCATCAGTAAAACATGAAGCTCAGCTCAAAATATCTCTAAAATATTATTTAATGCGTTTAAAACAGAATAACATAGCTGAGTTTTGAAAATAGTGAAAATATAGCATGACTGAGCACCAGTATGAAATCAATCAGTGAGGAAAATATCAAGTAAAAGCCCCTAAGGGTTCAAACAGCTGGCACGAAGCCCACATATGGCATTTAGCCCCAAATATAATAATATTAAACAAATAACTATCAAATACACAGTAAAATAAACATTTGGGATGGACTAAGTCACAATCCCCAACGGCGCTCTACCCCACGCTCGTCATCTAGCGTGTAAGTCACCTCAACATAGCCGTACGCTGTGAAATTCCGGGGTTTCATACCCTCAGGACAACATTTAAAATCATTACTCACCTCAATTCGGCCCGAAACCTAGCTTGCAATGCCTTTGCCCTTCGAAACGACATCCGAGTGCTCCAAATCTACCAAGTTCAGATTTTTATCATTAAATTATGCTAAACGAATAAATTCCAATTGAAAAATATCGAATTTAAGCACAAAATCCGAAATCGGTCAAAACCCGACCCCCGGGCCCGCATCCCGGAACTGGACAAACTTTATACCAAAATGTTCTTCATCATCTCACGATTCCGTACATATAAAGAACTCAAAAATCGGAGTTCGTTTGACCCCTCAAACATACCTAGAAGGTCTCTTAATCTCAAGCCCTAACTCCACCTTTTTCTACTGATTTTCATGAATTTAACACTGATATTTTGTTCCTTAATCACAAATAATCAAGTTTTAGGGTCCAAAATCCTTACCTCAACGAAGAACAATGATTTCCTCTCTTCAAAATCGCCTAAAGCTTCGAAATTTTGTGTTAAAAGTGAGAAACCCTCTGAAAATCGCGAAGGAGGAAATATTTTAATCTGACCAGACATTTCCGCATCTGCGGCCATTTCACCGCATCTGCGGTACCGCATTTGCGATCTATGCTCCGCTTCTGCGGAAATCACTTAACGGGCCAATTTCGAATCCACAGGTGCGGTCCAACTACCGCATCTGCGGTTCCTGACTCTTCCTCTCAAATCTACATCTGCATGTCCCCCTTCCGCACGTGCGGCGCCGCACCTGCGGTCCCCAAACTGCAGGTGCGAAAACACCAGAAGCAGCAACTTCAGCCGCTGTAATAACATCTCAACTTCTCCGTTGACCACCCGAAATCACCCCGAGGCCCCCGGGACCTCATCCAAAAGCACAAACATATCCTAATACCTTATTCAAACTTGTTCCAATCATCAAAACACTTCAAACAACATCAAATCAACCAAAACACCTCGGATTCAAGCCTAAGTTTCTAAAATCTTCCGAATTCCGCTTTTGATCAAAAACCCAACCAAACCACGTCCAAATGACCTGAAATTTTGCACACACATCCCAAATGACATAACGAAGCTACTGCAACTTCCAGAATTCCATTCCGACCCCTATATCAAAATCTCACCTATCAACCGGAAAACGCCAAAAAGTCCATTTCACCAATTCAAGCCTAAATCTACTCCGGGCCTCCAAAGCATATTTTGAGCACAATCTTAAGTCCCAAATCATCTCCCGAAGCTATACGAATCGTCGGAACTCACATCTGAGCCCTCTAACACATAAGTCAACATTCGGTTGACTTTTTCTAACTTAAGCCTTCTTAAAAGAGACTAAGTGTCTCAAACCTTCTCAAAACCTTTCCGAATCCGAGCCAACCAACCCGATCACATATAAAACCAATAATTAAGGCAAATAGAAGCAGAAATGGGAAAAATGGGACGGTAACTCATGAGACGACCGGCCGGGTCGTCACAAGCGATCTTCCTCGTTTTCTTCTTCTTTCTCTCATCACTGCTTATGGAATCATGGTCGGAATCCGATGGGTCGTCAAAAAAATTGTCGACTAAAATAGGTCGTCTGAAGTTTGGGGTTGAGCAATTTGAAGATTCTGTTAACTTTTTTTTAAGAGCATTTCAATGTATCTCGCTGTATTTCTATGTATTTCATTGTATTCACTATTTTTTTTTCATTGTAATTCAATGTATCTCGTTGTATTCCATGTATTTTATTGTATTCAATGTCTTTTTTCTCATTGTATTTCAATGTATCCAGCTGTATTCTATGTATTTCATTGTATTCACTGTCTCGCTATATGCCATGAATGTATTCATATGTTTTTTTTAATTAATATAATTTTTGTATTCAGATGTATTATATAATTTCTCTGAAGATTGCTATGTTTTTGTGGTATTTTTCGGTTGAGAATCTTTTTTATAACTGAAAAATACAAAATTTGTGTGTTATAATTGAGTTTGTTGAGTTATATTAGGAGTCTATTATGTTAATTGATTCACTTTTCGTTTTAAAAACAGTTTAATCCCCTATTTCACGTCGTAAATACAGTCGAATACAATAATCTATCCAGCTATAATACCATGTTTCACTCCATGAATACAGTCGAATACATTCGAATACAACAACTGATTAGCTGATTCACGCAAATGGTATCTATAGATGGCTAATTACTACTAAAAGATAGTGCTTTATGAAAATTTCTTTTGAAAGAATTACAAGAAAATATACTTGACATCACACCGTAATAAAAAGTGGCCCATATTTTTAAGTTTTACCCAATCTAGCCCATATTGTACATATTTTGAAAGCACTAGCAAATTCAAAATTTGTATTCTTACAACTATTGCTTCTAAAAGCTATGGAGTTAAATTTGTGTTCTCACAACCATTGCTTTCACTCTATTTTCTTCTCACATCTTCTACATATGCTTCAAGGGGCCGTCCGCCATTACTGCTTCTCCGCTTGTGTCACCTGATTGCAATGTAAGAAAATTGAAGAGTAGACGTGGCCACCATTGAAGGCTATTCATAGCTTTGCTTTCGATAATAGGATTTTTTGAGTATGTTAGTTGTTTGGATTGAGTGTTGTTCTAATTGATTGAAAATATCAAAAGGAGTTCAAAATTTAAATTTGAAGTGATTTGAGTAGATTTGAGCAAGATTTGAGTTAAATTTCAGAAAAGACGCAACGAAGAAGACGAAGTCAGTTTTTTGTATAATTATGTATAATCTTGTATAATAGTGTATGTGAGTGTGTAAACACATCTTATGCACTATTATATACTTTTATACACCTTTATACAAGTGTCTGTAGACGAACTTCTTCCACGATTTTCAGTTGCCATTCTTGTTCAAAACCAACCAAATCTCCATTAAATGACTTCAAATTTTGTATGCAACCTCCTTATGCTATTTCTAACAATTCTAAATAACACCTACTCCAAATTTCTCACAAAATCAAATGCGGAATCTAAACCCACATATTTAAGTTTGTTAAAAATCTATTTTTCACCATTCAGATGGATTTGGTTTGTTGAACTAATATTGGAGTTACAGTTGCTGATTCGAAAATTAACTTAAAAGCTTGAACAATCTTTTTTTAAATTAAATAGTAATTTCGAGAATTTATTGGAGTTGGATGTTGAGTCTTAGCCTATTATATTTGGTTGTAAATTGAAATATGGGCTATAAAATTGAAAAGTAGGCATTCCAGTTGTTCTTATGTGAAATTTTTCCCTATATTTTTTATATATTAATGTAAAATTTTCTACATATAATATATATATATATATTTTATATATACTTTTATATATTTAGCTGACGGATATAAGTCGTTTTAGCTGACCCGTCAAATATGTAACTTGCCCCATAACAAACAAGAAAAAACCTTTTATTATTTTTGGTACATAAGAATAACCTATAATTGCACATTGCCTTTAATAGCATAGCAGGTTTTTCTTTTTTTTTTCTTTTTTTTTTTTAATTTTGATTTTCCACCCGGTGTTCATATCTATAACCGACCTCAACTATATCCAGATTCCTTAAGGCCCATTCGGCGAAAGTGCTCTCAAGTATTTTTTATTTTTTTTCATACCCACCACTCGAACCCATAGCGGGTCCTTTGGTGGTGCAGCTTTCTTATCAGCTGCCTCTCCAAATTCTCAATTCTCTTCTATTATTATCAAAATAAATATCGAAAGTGTAAAGTTTGTTCCTTAAAATCCGGTCGATTGGTCGAATCTTGAGAAGATACCAAGAACTTATCCGACCCTTTTTCCCACTATAATAACAATATCACGTTCTTGCTTATTTTGAACTGAAGTCAATTGCTTTACTTCTTACTAATCATCAATTCCTTCTAATTATCACCTTCTACATGCCACTATTAGATTTTCTTATTTAAACTTCAGTATTCTACTCTTAGATTAGACCCATTTTAGTTCCAGGTCAGTACGTTTCTTGGAGTTGATATCTGTTTTTGTGTCAATACAGAAGCTGGTGTTTGGTAATTTTCCAATTTCTGATCACACCCAATTGAGTTTTTCTTTTTTAAACTTTTCTTTTTGTCAGTTTTAGAACTTTCATTGGTCTTGTAGTTGTTCTGTTGAGTGTTCATATCTGGTTACATTCCTTCTAGGTGTTCTGTTTCTTGTTAATTTTCCATTTCCATCATACCCACATTGAGTTTTCGTGTGTGTGTGTGTGTGTGTGTGTGTGTTGATCTACAGGTTGTTCTGTTGAGTGCCCAGAAGTTGGTTCTTGTTAATTTTCTAATTTGATCACATCCACTTTGTGTTTTTGCTTCTTTTCGTTTGATTCAGTTTTTATTTTGTCTGTTTTGTATCTTTTGATTAAGTTCTACTAGGTGTTTTATAACTTTGTTTGGTGTTCATATCCTTTTGACCTTTCTTCGAAGTGTTCATTTATTGGGGTTCATGTCTATTAATCTTTTTGCCAACCCATAACCTGGTTTTCTTTCAATTTGTTCACACCCACATTTGGTGTTCGCATATTTCTCTAAAAATGACAGCCCGGTGCACGAAGCATCCCGCATTCACGTAGGTTCCGGAGAAGGATCGCACTTTACTGTTGCTCCAAAGTTCCCCTTCTTTTGCCTATTTCTCTGTGGATCATTTTTCTCAAATTTAAACTTTCTGACTGAGCTCATATATGTGTTTTGTTTGTGTTTGGAGAGAGGGGGGGGGGGGGTTAGTGGACTTAAGGAAGTTTCAAGTGTCATCAATATGATATTGGATTGAGCTAGTTAGGCTTCTAATAATGGCAATGTATAATAGATATTTTCATGAAAATTCGGTTTCATCAATTTTGCCAAAAAAAGGAAGAGCTATTTAGCTAGTATTATTCTAAAATGTTGGTGGGCTTGGTAAGTTGATGAGTATATTCATTACAAGTTCCTATTGTTAGATCACATGTAGCTGTTTTTCAGCTTGTCATTTTTAAGTTTTTGTAGTGCCCCTACTTACATATTTAATGGAAAGAAGAATTCGTTTGTATGATACATGTCTAACGTTGAGTTTTTAGAAGAAATGACTTATTTTTATGTCTTGTATCTTATTTTCTTGTGTGTTCATTGGTGAATGATGCAGCCATAAGGTGGAGGCGATGAAGTTGTTCATCATATTGTTGCCAATTTTATCGGTTCTAGTTGCTCTTCAAGGTGTAACGTCTCATGAAGATCACCCGCTTGCAAGGATTGCTGTTCATAAGGCTATCTCTGCTTTGGATGCTCGTGCTTATGTCAAAGCAACTCCTTCTGTTCTTGGGTCAAATGTAAGCGTCATTACTAGCAACTATATCCCAGTACTTAAGCTACCTTAAGTTTCCTCATTATTTTTCTGTTCAAGAAATTTGAATGGATGTGCTAGCCAGTTTTCAAACTGATAATTAAGGATTTTAGGTTCTGAGTCGTGTACATTCTCTTTATGTTCTAGGGTCTAAGCCAAGAATGGATATCTCTGGAGTTTGGCACAGGCAACCCGTCAAATGATGATTGGATTGGAGTATTTTCTCCTGCCAATTTCAGGTGAACTAAACTTGGTAGACACACTGTCCATTACTTATTCATATATCTAAAATTCTAAAGCTCTATTTCAAAATTTTAAGATGTGAGAAATGATTTTGTTTTGCTACAGAAGAATATAGTTACATAAATTTTTGTTACTTTAAGCTAATGTGATGAACGTTCACAAAATATTTCAGTGCAGCTATTTGTGACCCTGAAAATAACATGGTGACTCCACCACTTTTGTGTACAGCTCCTCTAAAGGTCCGTTCCGTTTATAGAATTATAGTGCAAGTTTTTAGAAGCTCTGTCTCTGGATATTGACTCCTACCTCGCTTCTTTTGCAGTATCAATTTGCAAATCACTCCAATCCCAACTACAAAAGGATAGGAAAAGGATCATTAAAGCTTCAATTGATCAACCAGAGATCAGATTTCTCTTTTGCACTGTTTTCTGGTGGATTACGAAATGTATGTTTCTACTTACCCTTGCCTTATCTACTTCTATAGAGTTGGCATATTTCACATGAAGCAAAATCAGAGTCCAACTTTTAAAATCCGGTAGATTTGCAAGAAGAGATACGACTTGGTTTAAATTTGGTGAAAATCCTTGATTTCTTGCTTTTTGGTGGTTATATTTTATTGGTTTGTCTGCCTTTTAATCCCCCTCTATGAAGATACTTTCTACACTCTGATCATGCTACATGAATGAGCTTTCGTAGGTGATGGCTAAAGTTCTCGTATATCTATTGATTTTACGCATCTTATAAAGGCTAGAGATGCGTATCTTGGTTGATGTCAGCTTATTCTAATTCATTTCTTTGTTTAACAGCCAAAGCTGGTTGCAGTGTCAAACACTGTTGCCTTTGCAAATCCAAATGCACCAGTTTACCCACGGTTAGCACAGGGAAAGGCATGGAATGAAGTAAGTTGGTTTCTTCCGCTGTAGCTTAATATGCAAAGAAACAAAGTTACAATATTTTCAGGCAGAAAATCAATGTCTTTTTCAGCATGATCTAATTGTTTGAATAATGACCACTTTGGGAAGATTAGAAAAATGACAGTTTAAAATTGATGCTCAGATGACTGTTACATGGACTAGTGGATACGATATCAATGAAGCAGAGCCCTTTGTGGAGTGGGGTCGGCAAGGAGGACAACAGACTCGTTCTCCAGCAGGGACTTTGACTATCGACCGTAGTAGCTTATGTGGTGGGTATTTTCTCCCTTCACGTCGGGACCTAAAACTAGTATCTTTATTACATATAATGCGCATATTGGACACTTGATTGGATACAATGGTTGTTAGATAGCAATTCTGTGTGGAGTACATCTGGTTTGCATGACAAATACTTGATGAATGTCATTCTATTCTGTATTACCTTATAAATCTTTTTTTTTCTTCTAAAAAAATGTCATTTTATTCCGCAGGTGCACCAGCAAGAACTGTTGGATGGCGTGATCCTGGATTCATTCACACTAGCTTTCTGAAGGAGTTGTGGCCCAATTCAGTGTAGGTTTACACTCTTCCTAGCAGCCGAAAGACAACAATCTAATCTTTTAAAAGATTTCATGTTTTATTGAAAGGCAGCCTTGGCGTAACTGGTAAAGTTGCTGTCATGTGACCAGGAGGTCACGGGTTCGAGCCGTAGAAACGGCCTCTTGCAAAAATGCAGGGTAAGGCTGCGTACAAAAGATCCTTGTGGTCCGGCCCTTCCCCGGACCCCGCGCATAGCTGGAGCTCTTAGTGCACTGGGCTGCCCTTTATTGGGTATCCATTTCTGAAGATGTTAGATAACTTTGAAATCTTCTTCATTCCCCCTAAAATCGAATACCAGAATTACATCTCCATGCTAATGCAGGTTAACATTTGAAGTGAACTTTCAATGCACTTTCCGATTTTGCAGATATACCTACAAGCTGGGGCATAAACTGTTCAATGGCACATATATCTGGAGTCAGATGTACAAATTTAAATCATCGCCTTATCCTGGTCAAAACTCTCTTCAGCGAGTAGTCATTTTTGGTGACATGGGAAAGGTTAAAGTTTATTTATCTGTCCATAAATATTTTTACTTCAATTTGTTGACAGTCTCAGTTTCCAAAAAGCCTTAGAAACTCTGTTCCTCTCTTAGTAAGGGAATTGCTCGCATTTGAGTTTCCTGTCTTTCCATTCAGAAGTGGATTATGTAACAATCCCGTTCATACCTGAATTTTTTCGCATTCTACTGTTCCATTAGCAGTGATTGTGGAAGGCTATATCTGAATTCTGCCATTGCTAAATATCTACTGTTCAGAAGTTACACTTGGCAAAGACCGATAATTGCCTTTTGAACTACAGGAAGAAGCTGATGGCTCCAATGTGTACAATCAATACCAACCTGGCTCCCTCAACACTACCAAGCAAATCGTTGACGACTTGAAGAACATTGACATAGTCTTTCACATCGGGGATATCGTTTATGCCAATGGATATCTTTCTCAGTGGGATCAGTTTACTTCTCAAGTCGAGCAAATTACTTCAAGAGTACCATACATGATTGCTAGGTACTTTGCAGATCTCCTGCAATTTATTTCTCAGTATACAATAGTCTGTTTTTTCTTCCTTTTTTATGTGATTAATGAAAGAATTTTCTCCCAGTGGCAACCATGAACGTGATTGGCCTGATAGTGGGTCATTTTACGGTAAAAAGGATTCAGGCGGAGAATGTGGTGTTTTGGCTCAGACAATGTTCTACTTCCCTGCTGAAAATAAGGATAAGTTCTGGTATGGTTACCGTATCTTTTGGATAATCCTAATTTGTTTTCCCTGCCAAATCCCACCTACTGAATGTACTTATCTACTAGTACTACACACATGTTTTTTTTTCCTTCTTCCTGAAATTATGGATATGAACCTTTTCGGTGACATTTATGAGTAAGCAGACTTTTAATGATCTTAGCACCCAAAGATTATTTAAAACTTAATGTGCATTGCTATTGGATAAACTAAAACTAGCCATAAGTGTCATTGATTTTGCATGTATGGAGGCAGTAAATAGGAACTTTTTTTCTCTTTTTTTTTTTGTGTTCTCTGGGTGACTACGAGTATCGGATAACAAGTGAAGTATATCATGCGAACATATTGAGAGATTTCCACTTTTAGACAAAAGAAAGAGAAGAACATCACTCATGTGCGATGCCGATATTTTAATTTAGATTTTATATATCAAAAGCTTTAAAAGTGTATTAGGTTTAATCTTGTTGTATGCTCTCAGGTACTCTACAGATTATGGCATGTTCAGATTCTGTATTGCTGATACGGAACATGATTGGAGAGAGGGCACAGAACAATATGAGTTCATTGAACACTGCTTTGCATCTGTAGATAGACAGAAACAACCATGGTTAATCTTCCTTGCACATAGGGTACTTGGTTACTCTTCTGGCGATTTTTATGCTGATGAAGGATCGTTTGGAGAACCAATGGGGAGGGAAAGCCTTCAAAAGCTTTGGCAGAAGTATAAAGTTGACATAGCCATATATGGTCATGTTCATAATTACGAAAGAACGTGTCCCATTTATCAGGTATCCTGAAAACTTGTGATAGTTCATCTGCGGTTTTCTTCTTATCTTAGCCAAATTGCTCGACGAGTGCCGCTTAGGTTCTGTGGACATTGAAAATAATGATGCTCTTATACCTCTCTCCCGTTTAAATCACTCCCAGAAAGTAAATACTCAGCTTGCCCCTTTTTAAATGACCATGTTTGACTAGCACCGGGGTTAAGGATGAAAAATTGACTTACATATTATATTAAAGACGTGGAAGAAAATATTAAAATAATGGTTGGAACATTAGTTTGATGGTGAAAACATCATATCAAAATTTAAAATTCGGATAGTTTAATGAATTTGTATGTTTAAAGTTGTGAAAGTTTATAAAAATGGAACGTACGCGTCTCGAAATACAAAAACGGTCATATATTTGGATGGAGGGAGTACTAAAGAGCCAAGCTGCATGCACAATTCACCTAATCTTATTTGCTTTCTTGGTAAGAGCTAGAAGTCTGTTAAAAGAATTTCTTTTAACAAACTAGAGAGTGATTTAAAACCTTTAATGTTCTTGTTCCTCAAATGTTAATAGTTCATTCTCTAACACATTCGATGTGTCTTTGCGAATGGCAGAATACTTGTACAATGAACGAGAAGAACTCTTACAAGGGAACCTTGAACGGGACGATACATGTTGTTGCAGGGGGAGGTGGAGCAGGTCTAGTAAAGTTTACATCCCTCCAGACCAAGTGGAGTATTTTTAAAGATTATGATTATGGATTTGTGAAGATGACAGCGTTCGATCATTCAAATCTATTATTCGAGTACAAGAAGAGCAGAGATGGTAAAGTGTACGACTCTTTCAATATTTCCCGGGATTACAGAGACATCTTGGCGTGCACTGTCGATAGCTGCCCGAGCATGACACTGGCATCTTGATTTGTCTATGAAGGAAGATTTAAAGTTTGATTATACCATCAAAATCTCTACACTTTGATGCAAATCCAGTTCAGAGCCACAAGCACCTGTGGCCTCACAGATAAACAGTCTGGGTATAAAAATGATTGAGGACAATCGGTTGTTTATTAGCCTTTTCAAGAATTTATTTGGTTGTGTTGGGAAAAAGAGTGGGAAGTTAAATGGAACATTTGTGAGGTCCAATGTGCTATCATTTTCATCTTTCATAAAGTCTGAGAAAATTGGTAATGAAAGGCAATGCATTATGTGTAAGAGGAGATCCTTTTCCAAGTAATTTTATTGCCTTTTTTCACTTTTAGCCCGCGCCAGAAAGTATTTACATTCGGTAGCTAAAAAGTTTAAAAAATTTGTATAATTTTTATATATAACATGTAGAATGTATATATATACAAAAAATATGGGAGAAATTAAAAAATAGCCAGATTTACAAGTGGTCATTCAAAAATAACCACAATTTCAAAAGTCATCGAAATTTAGTTCATTTCATGTAAAGATAAATCTGAACGAAAACACTGTTCAAAATCCGAAAAATACTCTAGCATAACATACTGGAACTCTAGTATATTATACTGGAACTCCAATATATTATACTGGAGCCACCAAAGTATACTGGTCCAGCATAATATGCTGGAAGTTCATGTACAGGTGCACCGAACTCCAGTATATTATGCTGGACCGGTCTCTTTTGCAGCAAAATAGTGCTATTTTTCAATGACTTGGCAAACACTAGCTATTTTTGAATGACCGGTCCGAAAACTGGCTAGCCCGTGCTATTTTAACAAAAAAATATACATTTTTTCATCTATTTGCAATCTTATCAAAAAGTGTAAAATATTTCTCGGACACAAAAAATTCCTCTTCGAGTATTCCAGCATCAAGCCTCAAGCAACGAAAGCAGTATGGAAGATCAAGATTTAATTCAATCACGTAGATGTAAGCATGCATGACAAAGAAAATGTGTATAACCTCATTTTGCACCATTTATCCGCTAAGGCATATACTAATATTTAGATTCACAACTTCCTTGTATCTTTTCAAAGTCAACATATTTATCTTCTTCCCTCAATTATGCAGCTAATCCTAGAGAAGATGAAAAGTATTACTTGAGATTATTATTGAATTATGTGAGAGGACCCTCTTAGTTTAATGACTTACTTACTGCTAATGGAGGAAAGTGCAAAATATTCAAAGAAGCTTCAAAAGAAAAAAGAGGGGGTTTTGACACAGTTACCCACAAAAACAAAACTATTTACCCTTGTCTATTCATTTATTTTTCTACTCATAAACTAATTACATTTCCTACCCATAGTAGGTTTTGTGGGGAATTTTTTCTTTATTCTTCAATTCTTTTTTATTTCTATGTTTCTTTTTTTTCTTTTTTCTTTTTTTTCTTTTCTCCTTTTCTTTTTTGTCGTTTTCTTCTTCTTTTTTTCTTTTTTTCCTTTTTTCCTTTTCTAATCATTTAACTTCTTTTTTTTATAATCTTTTTCTCTTCATAATGTAATTTCATTTACTGTTTTCAGTGTTTTTTATTATTCTTTTTTTTATATTATTACTAAAGAAAACTTAAATTGTGTACCAATTAAATGTAGCTAATACAACCAAGAAAAATATTAACTAACATATGATACCAATATAGTATATGCTATACCAACAGGGTATATGTGACGCCCCGAACCCGGGCCTGGACGTAACACGACACTCGGTGCCTAACTACATGTGATCGAGGGAACCAACTGGCTGGCTGAATCAACATGTGGTATCATAACATACTGAATGCAGAAGATAAACTAACACATGTTGATATGCTGAAAGTCTGGATGATATAAATCAAAGTGCGGAAATACTAAAACAAGTCTGAAACATATATGTAGCCAACATTGCCTAACTACATGTGACCGAGGGAACCAACTGGCTGGCTGAATCAACATGTGGTATCATAACATACTGAATGCAGAAGATAAACTAACACATGCTGATATACTGAAAGTCTAGATGATATAAATCAAAGTGCGGAAATACTAAAACAAGTCTGAAACATATATGTAGCCAATATTGCTTAACATGAAAAGCTTGAGACTCTGTCTAACTGTTACTCTAGTCTATGAAGCCTCTAATGAAATACTGAAAACACTGACTCTCCGAAAATACTGAAGACTGTAAGGTAATGATAATGCCCTGAAAGAATTGGGATCACCAAATAACTGGTACGAGAGTCCTAGCGCTCTGAATTGTCAACCTGTAAATCATTACCTGCATTGTGAGATGCAGGCCCCGGGCAAAAGGGACGTCAGTACATTTGAATTGTACTGGTATGTAAAGCAACCGAAAGAAAGAATTATAATGCTGAAACTAAAACTAAGCTGATAACTGAAATGATAACTATTGAAACTGAAACTGAAGTGAGAACTGGTAACTGAACTGTTAACTGAAAAGATAAGTGAGAACTGGTAACTGAACTGATAACTGAAAAGATAACTGATAACTGATAACTGAACTAATAACTGAAAAGATAACTGATAACTGAAAAGATAACTGATAACTAATAACTGAACTGATAACTGAAAAGATAACTAATAACTGAACTGATAACTGAAAAGATAACTAATAACTGAAAAGATAACTGATACCTGATAATTGAACTGAATAAAGGATGTAAGGATATGAATACTGCCTCTTCTGAATGATGAACAACCTGTTTATCTGAATAAGCTACGGCCTCGGGCCCAATATATATGTGCACAAGCTATGGCCTCAGGCCCAAGTATACGTATACATAACTGCGACCTTAGGTCCAAAATGCATAAAGCATAAACTGCTGCCTCAGGCCCAAAGATGCATAAAGCATAAACTGCGGCCTCAGGCTCAACGATGCATAAAGCATAAACTGCGGTCTCAGGCCCAAAGATGCATAAAGCATAAACTGCGGCCTCAGGCCCAAAGATGAATAAAGCATAAACTGCGGCCTCAGGCCCAAATATGCATAAAGCATATAAACTACGGCCTCGGGCCCAAATATAGGTGTTCAACATTCAGGAACTGAGAATCAAACTGCAATACATGATAGTGAAATACTGAATCACACTAGTTACATGATACTGGAATACTGGATCACACTGAGTTACATAACACTGGAATACTAAATAGGACTAGACTGAGACATGTATTCTTGAACTGATTATGAACACTGAAACTTCAACTGTTTATGGCATACTGAGTAATCTATACTAAGACTCGGGGGAAACACACCCAAGTCTATATTGAATACGCACTGAGCTCACAACGTTTAGAATGAAAGTCATGAACGAGTTATGAAGCTAGAGAATAGAAGTTTTGCAACTATTCAAGGAGCTAAGCTTAACTATATTTCTGAGGCAATTAGTAACGTTGTAAAAGAAACGTAGTGTAGGGAGAATCATTAAAATTCCCAAACATAGAGAGTTAGCCTCACATACCTTAACTTCCTGCTCTTGAGCATAATACAACATCCGACAACCCTTTCAACTTTAATCTATATCAATACAAGTCAAAGGGATTCCAAATTAGCAACAATAGCCATGTTTTGGTCACTTAGGTATTTTATCAAACACTTGGTGGCATAAAGCTTCATAGCCCTTATTAATGGTGTCTCTACACCCAATAACCCATTCTCTTG